TCACCTTGTTTGACAAATTGTTGGACAGCATATCATTATAACAACGTTGAAAGAAAATTTTCATCATTTTTTGAAGGCAAAAAATGAGCCAAAAAGTGAAATTCAATTGATAATGTTTTTTCTTCTTCTTCTTCTTCTCATGAAATGCTTTTATTAGTTTCCCTCTTTCCCAATTTGTCTTATTCATCAACTGATCAAGGTTAAATTGACCTTTGAATATCAATCCATGTTCAGAAAGTTATTCATGTTTTTCCATGGATTCATCATCATAAGGGTCATTTGCTAGTTTCATTCATTTTCAAGAGTAACAATTTCCATCACATTCACAGTAAACTTGCAATTACTTTACCATCAATAATGTCTCACAATCTTATTGACTTTTCACAATTCCCTGAACTTACCTTAGTTTCATCGTTTATCCAATATTCACTTGAGCAACCAATGATATCTATTATCAATGTTGAACATCTTGATTATCACTTGAATATCTTTCATTTTTAAAGCTTAAATGGTTAAAGACTGAAAAAATTTGAATTGCCTTTCAAACCATCACTTCTCAACTGAATCAAGTTTAACATTTCATTATTATTCATCTTGAACCATTTCAAGTAATCATCTTCACTGTCCATTATCATAATCGTCTTTTTTTCAAGTATTTCCCTGCAACTTGACCCTTCACCAAGAGCAACATTAATTTACATAATAATAATAGTGATGACGATAAGCAAAATGGTATAATACATTGACATCTAATGGATGATAAATCAATAAGATAAAAATAGATTAAACCTGCAACAATCAATCTAATTTACAGCTTTCAAATAGCTCAGGTAAATTGTTAACCAGATTAAATCCATTTCCATATGAACGTCTCCAACAAGGCAACAAATGGATTGAAAGCAATCCAATAAAATTAAAAATCCATTTCAATCAATTGGACTTTTCATCATTTTCAAAATGTTCATCATTTTTCCATGTATTTCTCATTATTCTCATCAACAGTTAACCAGAATAACCAAGTTAACCTAATGACTATCAGAATGGGTACAAATAACCATATGAATGTCCTCAACCTTTTCTCTTTCCTTTTGCCTTTCTTTCTTCCCTGTCTTTGGGTTATTCAGTAAATCCTACAAAATGACAGAAAATGATGAAGTTTATCGCAAAGGTATATTCAGTTTACTATTGCGCCATAAACATGATGTGAAGAAAAAACAAGAAACTCTGAAACTAATATTGATCAAATGCGTACAACAATTTTTGTAAGAAACTTTTTCTCTTCCCAGAATTCAGAGTTTTCTGTCGATCTTTAATCTCTTTCTGTCTTTCCTTTCTTGTCACCCAACTTCATCATTTTTTGTCTCTTGTTGTCTTACCTTATCATTTCATTTTTACCCTTTTCCTTTCCATCTTCATCATCTTCCTTTTCCTCTTCCTCATCATCTTTTTACCCACTTTTTTGCTTCTCATCAATTCTGTTCAATCAATGTTATTTACCATTTATTTTACCATGAATTTGCCTTAGGTAACTCATTCTAATCTTTTTTTTCACTCAAATTTTTTCATTCATTTTTTTCGCCATCTTCTCTCTGCATTGCTTATTAGACCTTCCTTAAGTAACTCACGATAATATACATCTTCATCCACTCTGTTATTATCTTGGCAACATTAGTTTACCTTTTTTCCCCTTGCAATCCTTTCTTTTCAACTTTTCCTTCCCAATCATCATCATCATACTTTCCCATTCAATTCCTTCTCTAACATAAATCTACATTTTTCGAGTTTTCTCAGTCTTTTTTAATGTATAACTGTTTCTCTTGTGCTACTTTTGATTGATCTCAGGACAATTTTATCATCAATTTGTTTCACTTTTTTCTTCTTCTTTACCCTTTCATGTATTCACATTCAATTTCACATTCTTAACTTTTCTTGTTTTTGCCACAAGCACAAGAAAAACAATTTCTAACCCATTAATTTCATGTGTGTGTTTTTAATGATAATTCTGAAAAAAAAGATTCCAAATTCTTTGCATTGATCGAGTTGAATCTGCTGCAAAATTCAAGATTCAATCATCCGATAACAACCAGTTTCATACAACAATAACTTTCTGATCAAATTAAAATTTCTTAATCAAAATGGACTCCAATTGCATTATCATTATTCCTCAATCCAAAAAACTAATTAATAGAACTACGATAGTCGGAAATAATCAAACTTTGCAAACTTGAAAAGTTATCGTTTCCAGGTTCCACTCTTAGAATTATCGAAATAATCCTTCCTGAATTCTGCAAAGAAATTACATTCAGCGATAGTTTTATCTTTTGAGGTTTTTTGAATAAACTGGTTCTGTTCATAATTTCCAATCAAGAATAAGAAGAGTTTTAGTTTAAGCGAAAATTGCTCTTTATTCTGACTGATTTATTATTGGTTTCAGACATGATGAACAATCTGGAATGGAAAAGCCAAAAAAGTAAAACAAATTCAATGAAACATTGAATGGTCATATTGGCTAGCCAATGTTAATCAGCAAGAGAAAAGTTATTCTTCTGTAATCTTTCAAGATTGCTTTTCAGGCAATGAAATTTTCGATGAACACTTGGATTGAAAAGGTATTGATAAGTTGTACAATAAAGGAATAAAGCTCACAACCTTTTATCGACAAGAATGAAGTTTCATATTGCAAGCTGCAAGCTTCAAATTGCAGTTCATAAGACAATATCGAGGAAGTGGTCATAAAACCAGAAAAAACACATTTTTTGATTACAAGAAAATTCAAGACATTGATGACATTTGATAAATAAATCATTAAGAAACGAATAAATATACGAAAAATGTAATAACACTAAGAGACAAATGTCCAAAAAAATTTTCAGCTTATTTGAGTTGAGAGTCAGAATCAACTGATTAAAATAAAGATACAAAATGATATTTTGAAATATTTTCAGAATAACTGATAAAATATAAAGCTCAATAAAGTCAAATCAGCATTAAGCTCAGTTTATATTCAAGATCTGGTTTTGCAATAGACAGGACAAAGGACAGTATGCCAGACTCACTGACCAAGTTGTCTTATAAAGGATTTACAGCTCTCAAGATGATCACCAGAAAAGGTAAAAGCATACTTGGAATCAGGACAACACTTGAACATGAAAGTACACATGAACTTGAAAGCTTTTCAATTTTCCCTGATTTGTTTTTTTCTGATTACTTAAAAATTTCAATGTAAAGTTCAATTTTTTGTACATTTTCATTATTTTGGAGATTTAAAAAATAAATTATTCGAAAATTTTCCTAAATCAATTTTTAATCCATTTTAAACGCATTTACTATCATGAAAACAGATTTTATGATGGTAAATGTTGAGCTATTTCTTTGATAAATTAGTGTATACATTCATTTACTTAGAATGCAGAATTGAAAGAATTATCGTGATTTTCCCAATAAACACGAGAAAATCATTTATTTCAGAATTTTATCAATCATGAAATTATCAGAATCATTGCAACATTATTATTCTGCTTGTTCATGTGTGCTCATCCACCTGTCATATAATAATATTGGTGTAAATATTATACAGGGAATGATAAAAACTACTTCCGTTGATCTGAATAACATTTCTGCTGATTCATGTTATAATCTTCATGAAATTGATAAAAAAGGCAAGTCAAAATAATGTAGGAAGAAGCAGAAAATATCTATTTTTCTTTACCTTCGTGTTCTCTCGATAATTTGTCTTTTATTGTTGATCGTTTCTGGTGACTTTTGGTCATCCTATGATTAAATGATGATAAATTTACCTTTGCATACAAATATTCTGAATATCTCAATATTCAGCCCGAAATAGTTGCATGGAAATCTTATTTACTTGAAGATATTTCTTCATAGCTTTGTAATTATGCCAAAATGCACTTCTTCTCACTCCAATCATGTTGAATCCTTTCCATTCATCTGATGATTTCCTTAACGTTTTCTTGCTTCTCTTGAAAAATAATGTGATTAATTTGGTAAACTTTGAACTTTAGAATTTAAAATTTCCAAAATTTCTGATAGATCAAGTGGAAAGAGCAAATCAAATCTTCCAATTTCATGATTTCCAAGCATGAAATTTTCAATATGCATACATAATTGACTTTAAATGGCAAAACATCACCAAACCTTTCAACCCCAGAATTAAATCCTTATAAAATCTGTACAGAAAATCATTGAACGAAAAAAAAATGAAACAAAATTGTTTAAAATTTCATTAGAATTTGTATTTTGATAAAAGATGAACAAAAATTAATAAACTATGATTTTCATATCAAAATACAATTTAATCATAAATAGATCAAGTTTTGAACGAGATGAAGATGAAATTGGAATAATGAGAAAAAATCAAAATTTTCATTTTAAAAATGTTGTGGATTAGTTGATTCTCACATTTTCAATCATAATTTTCTTGGTGAATCACTTTTTCCATTCTGATAACCATTCGATTTACATTTCAATTCATCCCTGGTTTCCTTCCCAGTTGAACCCAAAAAAGTTTGGGTAAAATAATAGACATAATCAGGGTAATCAGGGTGAGCATTTTGTGTGCATTCTCATAAGCTGATGATAACAATTTGAATATTATATTTGTTCAATTCCAACATTTTCCATTTCTTATTCTCTTCTATTTACTCTTCATTTATCTTCATTCAAAAGAACCTTAATTTACATCAAATAGGTAAATACTTTTTTCCACCTTACTCTTAAATCTAATGATATCAATTATTTTCTCAGCCTTTTCTCATCATTTCATCTTTACATGAAGTTTGCATGAAATTCAGAATTTTTCTTTACTTGACTTCCAATCTTTTAGTTTCTCTCAACTCCAACTCTTGCGTTTATCCGTTGAAAGTTTTTTTTGTTTTTTTTGTTTTTTCGTTTTGTTTTTAACCTGCAAAAAGTGAAATCTTTTGCCCCAATTTTTGGTCCATTTTTCAGACTCAAGTCTCATTAGTTTACTTGTTTTCCAGCTACAGAATTGAGAGAATCTAATTGGTTAAAAAAATCTGAAAAACTTCGTTTCAAGAACTTGGTTTCTCCATTGGTGGCTGCTTCTCAAACCCTTATATCAGTAGCCAAACAATATCGAGGTATGTTATTGGGATGGCATTCAATCACAGCTAATATTCATATTAACACTTAATCTCATCCCAAGCCATCATCATTCAAACATTATCATAACTCGCCTGTGTTTCTCACATCAATCATTCCAAGTTAATATATTTAATACTCTTCACAATTAACCAACTCGATTCTTGACTCGAATCCAGGCCTTCTCTTTCATCCTTCATTTTCATCCCCAAAACATTAACTAATCAATTCTCATTAGTTTAAATAATCATTCAAATGTTTTCCTTCAATTTCCTTCCCTTTATATTCACTAACAATCCAAAAATAGCATAAATCTGTGAAACCCTTTTTTGGATTCACTTTTTTCCCCATCACTCAAGACATTCCCTTCAACTGATTATGATGAGACCCTTGAGGTTGAACCAGTTTTCAAACTCATCTTTAACTTTTCAAATGCACGGATTAAAATGATTCCGATTAACTGAAACTTTTACCCTTGATCATCCAGTCCCTGTTTACCTAATGAATCCTGAAATGTTGAAACCTTTTCAAACTTTTTCTTTTCACTAAAAATTCCAATTCCTTCAACCATTATCATCTCTTACTAAATGAATTTGAAGGGAAAACTTTCACCTTTTTTTCGCAGTTGCTTTGTTTTTCACCTTTTGCTTCTCGGTGAAAGTTAATGGCATTTCCATTAGCAAAGTGTAAATGGATTATCAATAATTTCATTTCATTTCCACTTTTCATATTTAATAACTTTTCACCATTCCTAGTCGATAAATTCATATTATTTCAACTTTGACAATTACCACAGTAGTTGTTATCATGTAAAAATTGTTTGCCTAAATATTAATATTTATCAAGTAAAAAGATAAATTATCATGAAAGCTAAATGATGAATGCTTCCCAGCTTGTTGTACTTTCTATGCGAGATAAATATTCTTATAATAATTTCGTTTTGTTTCTATTCAGGAAAGGAGAAGAACGAAAATATAAATAATATTAAAATTGTTGCAAGTCAAGCAACAACAAGAAAACAGCAAAAATAACAGCAATATCTGTAAAAGGTAATGGAAGCATGAGAAGGATGCAAAAAAGTGAAATGAATAAAGGTTGATATTTCGTTGAATTACACTGGGAATGATAAATATTATGATAACCTGATTAAGGATTCATTTTACTCTATTTTTACCTTTTACCTTTTCTCTTTTGGTTTAAATTTCATTTCAAAATCTTGTTTTTCTTTACCTGAACTTTATAGCAAACATGATAGTTGACTTGAAATTTACCAATTCAAGTGTGATAATTAAGAATGTCAGTTTAAATTTGATTAAGGTAATTTAGAGTTGCAATGTTTCCATACTTTTGCAATTGTATAAGCAAAATAAACTTGATTACGAAAATTCCTTCGCATTGAGAATCAAAGTGTTGAAGTTATCGATTGATTTTGTAATTAAAAACTTGTCGAGCTAATTAATGTTGATGTCTTGCAATTTTAACGTCAATTTGATGAAACTTGAAAACCAGAAAAACCAAAAAACTTTCATCTGTTTAAATTGCTATTTGTCAACTTTTCAGTTTTAGTTTTTTTTTCGCTCAATTTTTCGTCTCTTGACCAACATGAAAAGTCCATATTTGAACTTTCAATCGATAGAAACTCTAATCATTTCCATTCACCTGTCTATGTTCATTGTTGGACTTTGCATTTCCGCAACAACGTGAGTTGAAAGTCAACTAATTGATGTCTCGCTTCCGATTTAGTTTTAATTAAATTTTTCCAACTTATTCAGATCATTGTTTTATTGCAGTTGAATATAAGTGAATGTGATTTGCAAAACAACGATTTACAGAAGCAACTTGTTTTAAGTCAACTTTCAATTCATTTTCGCTTTTCTTCCATCGCTTAATCATTAACCATGAACAAATTGCGGAACTGTTTCTATTCACAAAACATGTTTCTCCTGAAAAGACTTTTCTTTTCGTTCTGTTTCTCCTTAGTGAATAATATAAGAATATTTTGCTTCTTTTTACCCTGCAATGAACACTAATTGTCCAAGTATTGATCACTCTTAACCTTACAATTGACCATTAATTAGAGAAGGAAAAAAAGGTAAAAGGATAGAAAAATTATTCCCTATTCATTGTTAAATCTCTGTAATTGATTTTCATGCAACTTTGTAACATTATTCAGCCTTTTCTGTACCACAACTAATGAATCTCTTGATAGATGATGAGATTACCTAAAAGAATACAAAATTTTCTTTCAACAATTCCTGTAAATCCTTATGCATGACTTTTCAGTTGATGATCAAATCAAAGTTAATCTAATTCTTTGCGTGCCGAAATTTTAAATCTTCAAGTCACTTATTGACAAAATTCAACTTGCAAGCTCGACTGAATCGCATTATTCCAACACATATTGAAAATCCTCTCAACAAATAATCTGCTCATTCCTAATTCGTTACTCAAGTGTAACAGATAATCGAGTAAATCGCAATTGATTTCAATCCATTGCCAGTTGATCCACAGCATCCAAAACAAGATTCGTACTTTCATCTTTCAGTCGAGTTCCATTCAGATAGTTCATCGAGAGCCTATTATTAACGCACTGTCTTTTGATCTATCAACAGTTTCTTTAAATTGTTTTCGATTTCAATGAAAAGTTTTTGCAATTTGTTGGTTCGACTGGTTTTGGTTTGATGTAACTGACGATTTGGTTGCAAAGCTTATAATTATGTAATTGATGACATTATTTAGTAATTGTTCAGTTTGACTGGATTTTTCATTCCAATGAAAAGGATAATAATATTAATTGCTAGATTATTGGATGGTATTAATATTCAATTTTATCACAATTTCCATATAAAATTTGGCTCCAATCAAGTTGACATCTTTTGAAAAGCGCTTCACCCATTATCATTCCAAATGACAATGTTAATTATTAAAATTAATCAACTCATGCATCAAATAAAAAAAAGTTGAACTCTAATTTATTAATTAGAGTTGAGCTTCCTTCTGAATTAAACTGTTTCTCTCGACTTTTACTCCTCAACATTTATCATGCATCATTCATTTACATCCATCTGAATTAATCTTAAGAGTTGAATGCGACTTATTTATACCATTGCACAAGTGTACCTCTTGCATGTTCATAGGCTGCTTATAAATTATAATTAATGGTCATTTTAATTAATTGAATCAAATTATCTCTGAAAACAATCGCACTGAACAACACTGAACAGAATGGTGATTGTAATAATAAATAAGGTACGAACAAGAAAAGGCACCAAAAAGAAGAATCCCATTTAAACAGCAAACCCATGATAATAAGAAAGTAATCAAATTAAATCAAAGTAGCTTAATATCACAATTAGCTTATTGTTAATCATTTCATTACAGTCAATCTCATCATATTCAAATTCCCTGATCTTTCTTTAAACGTTACCCAAACTCATTTCGTTACTTTGTTCATTCACTTTACGATTGCTTTAAATTCATTTTTCGTTCATCCAATTGTATTGTCATAATTAGAATAAATTGCAATGGCAATTACTTTCTTTCAACAAATGATTAAGAAGAAAATCTTATTGTACATTTCAAGTTTAATGCATTTCATAGGTTCATGGATCGGTGAGTTGGCTGTTTTTTAACAATAAAATGCTCTTTGCGATCACTTCGTGTTCCTTTCTTCTGCTGGTAATAACCATCAGGAAAATGATCAGAATCAGAATCAGCATCGAAAAAATCATCAGACTCATCATCTTCATTTTATTGCTTTCATTGTGAGATTTATTCTCATAATACAAACATTGTTAAAGTTTACTTGGATCGATAAAACAAAACTATCAAATCCTTGCTCTTAACATTTTGACCAAATTCACTCGTTGATTTGAAACTTCAAAGCAGCACTTGAAAAATCAGGTAAACCTTTTGACTATCCATAAACACTCATCGCAACTCAAAATATTTGATTTATTGCCTTCTTCAGTCGATTTTTAGACTTTTCTGAGTTTCCAATTGATTATGAAAGAAATGGTCAGTTTGATCAAAATGTTAAATTGCCTGGAAAACTCAACAATTTAATATTAAATTTAAAACAATGAAAACAATTATCGTTTTACAGGCATTTCAATATGTTCAATAACAATTGAAGTTTCCTAATTATTTATTAATAAGCTCTTCAAGTTAATGATTTTTCACTGTTTCAGTTGACAATCCATTTGATTTTGTTCAATCATTTCATTACAATTACTCAATAAGTAATAACTTTTCTCCATAATTATTTAATTCTGTTCAAAACCTTTTTCCATTTCTATTCTTCTTTGTGTTTTCTGCCTTTTAATAAACTCGTTTGTCCATTAATTGTATTAAATATTTTAATATAAATTCGTGTTTTGAATTCTGGAAATCCATTTCATTCCATTTAATGAAAGAAACAATTCATTTTCAATTGAAATCCAATGAAGAGTTTGATCATTTGATCATTTCGGTTTTGTTTTCTGGTAAAGTTTAGATCTGGTAAAGTCTATTAATTTAATTTTACTCAATTAAATGTCTTACATCTGAACTGGAAAACGTTTCCTTGATACTAATCAGTCAGAAACTATCAAATAACTCATCAACGAACAGTCAATTAACTTTTCAAAACTCGTCTTTTCCTTCATCAAGTTGACAAATTTCATTTATGGTTCAATATCTCGATATTTCCAGTTGATGTACAGTTTAGACTCGAACATAATTAATACAATTGAAGCCACAGATTCTCGTAGGAAATGTTTTTCCATTGAATAAGACTAGGAACAGATCAGTTTGAACATTGCCATTGGATTTGTTGGTAAAGTCAACTTTCATGGTTTTCCTTTGATTTTCAATTCTTTTCTGAAAATGACAGCTTTTTTTCATAATTTTATGCATTTTTAAACAATGGTTGGCCCATTCAAAGTCAAATTGACAATGAATAAAAACTAGTTTATATTAAATTAAACTATTAGCTTGATTATCAAACTTGCTCTTTGCG